AGTTCCTGCCAGAGAATGTGTGCTCCTTCCTCTTTCATGTTTTTATGGAGAAGTTCTTCTCTGAAACTTTTATTCTGTGGTTCCTTAATCCATCCCTCCACTGAATGACAGAAATCTTCTGCCACCTAAGCTGCCCTGAGTAATATCCTTGTGGTTCAATACACCTTGAAAGCTAAGCATGTGTGAGATAGAGGTGAAGGCTATCTCAGATTGATGGTGTACATCCAGAGATACTGCAAGATAATGGAATTGCTGGAAATTACACCAGTGAAAGTGAGGTTTTCTTCTGTACTTCTAAAATATTTGTGAGAACAGTCTGAAAGTATTCATTTTTTCATGGGGCCCTTACAAATAATGTCTTGATCTTTACTTGCCATAGATGTGGGAAAAAAAAGACAGTAAGGTCTTTGAAAAATGAAAATCAACTAGGATCACAAAGATTCAAAAGGAGAAGTATCTCCGAAGAAAAACTCAATAAACCATTTAATCTAAACAACTTAATGTAAGTGATAAATCTCTCTACATCTGTTGACCAGTGTAGAGACTGAGTTTTGGCTTTCACGTTTGAGTTTATGTACACTGAGTACATGATCCCTTGAGTAAAATCTAACAGTACAACTTGTTAGAGATGATGCAAGATGGCACAGGCAGGCTCCTCCACTCCAGGCTCAAGATTTCCAAGAGAAGCAACCATCTTTGGTGTTCTTAACTACCTCCGAACCAAAATACACAATTTTTAGGCACCTGTTTATTATGTTGTGGTTTCTAAATGTTGTACAGTAAAAGACAAAAGGGACATGAGTAACACCAAGGACCGCTAATTTATGTGGACTGGAAACTTAGGAGAAGCAGAAAAATGAGAAGGAATAAAGCTTCCCTGTTGGACATTGCTTCTGATTATACATAACCTGTTTTAGTTTAAGTAATTCTGCTTGCCTCTGGCCACAAGCATTTCCTAATGTATTTTTCCATTAGATGTTTCATCCTTTTGTAGATCTTGAGTGGTGTTTGTAGGCTGACCCCTGCACAGTTCTCTTTTCAGACATCCTTTGGGTTCTGAATAACCACCTCAGCACCAGTTTTTAAAGTTTTCTGCAATAAGAGATTTGTAGTGTGAAAATGCCCCTGGAAGCTACTCTTCAATATGTTCTAGATGTTTGCAATGTTCAGTCAAAGAACATCTGATTTTATTTATTGCCATGGAGTTGTGGAGCTCTGCTGAAATAAAGCACTCTTGAATCTGCTTAAACTCCATTTGACAAGATGCTTAAGACAAATTTTATTTTATTAATAGATAAAAGGAAATTCTTAAGAATTATTTTTAGTGATAAAATTAGAAGAAATGATTGCTCATTTACAGTTGTCCTGTATCAGCTTAATTTTGAGTACAAGATGCAGAGTTTTACAGGTCTGTTTCTATCCAGACACTGAACTGAGCACTGCTGCTCAGTTCTGAAAATTATTTTGGAGTTTATCTTCAGTGAAATGCTTCCAAACAACATATTTTTTTGAAGTGCTTATAAATTCCCTCTAGAAGTCAACCTCTTACTTTGCTGTCTCATGTTACAAACTCAAATATATTAATTTGGAAGAGGTGTATCTTTGATTGTTTGTTACTCAAGATAACCCTTGCCAGAGTCCCCAAAATTACAAGAGCAAGAAAGAGCCCTGAGAGGTGGGGCAGCAGGATGGCTGCCTAGCCCTGATGGTCATCTCAAGGCCGATCTTGTAGGACTGGCTGAAAGGGTGAGATAGGGCCCCTGGGAGATTGCCAGCAAGTCACCAATTAATACTAATTGCATGGGAAAATACTGTCAGGCTGCCATGGTTCATCAGGGACTGGAATGAGTTCATAATCGTGTTGCACCCAAGGGCTCTGTGTCCCTTGGTATTTACTTCAAGAAGAAAACACAATGTTGCTTGCTGCTCTATTCACTTGCAATGTTTTTAGATCTGCACTAATGTGGAGGAGCGTGAAACATCTCACATCTATCATACAGCTTGGCCTTGTGAATATTTGAATTAAACTCTATATTGTAATTGGTTTCAGCAGGAATCATCACTGTCTCATCTTGAGGCAGACATTACTTCTAATTTTCTCATAGGAAGAAAAGCAAAGCTGAAGTTGCATGAACTATATGCACATGATAGTCCTTTCAAAACAAGAAAACTATGGACATCTGATTTTAAAATGGCTTTTAGCTTTGTCTCTCTGATTTCCAAGGAAAGCTTTGCAGAAAACTGAGATTTAAGCTGCTGCTGTCTCCTCCTCTGCCTAGAGACAGCTGTAAACGTATGCTGAGGATGTCATTTACTGTCTCATCCTCTAGTTGCTCATGAAGATCATGAAAATTGAACTGGCAATGCTGTGGGGCAGGAGCGAAGGGCCAGCGTGCCCAGAGGCTCCCGGCTGTGGTTCCCGGGGGCCGAGAGCCGCTGCTGTGTCTGTGCTCTGTCCCGGGATCACGGCAGGCAGGGAGAGGCGCTTTCCCGGCAGGTTCGGAGAGGCAGGTGGGAAGGGCACGTTCCTCTGTCAGGGCATTGCGATTTCTCCTCTTCAAAAAGGCAGACAAGGCTTCCAAGTCCTAAATTGCATTTTGTCTAACTCCTCCCCTATTCCGGCTGCTTGCTCATGCAACCTCCCACGGATCCGAAACAAAAATGTGTGAAGCGAGGCAGGGAGGGCTCTTGCCAGCGCAGATTCCGTCTCCTCTCTAGGCGCCCGGGTCCCGTCGTGCGCTTTCTGTCTCGCTGCTGGACACGGCGGAGCTTTGGCTCATCGCAAACACATTAGCGTCTCTCTCCCACTCCTCCTCATCACTCCGAGAAGAAAAGCGGGGCTGAGGGGCTGCGGGTGAGCGTGTGTGTGCGGCGCTGCTCGGGCGGGCTGAGGCGGCATCGGGGCGGGCCGTGCCCGCTCGGCAGCGCGGTGGGATCCGCGCCCTGCGTGCGGCATCGCTGGGCGGGACAGGGCTCAGGAGCCCCGGGAGCTGCCTCGGTGCCCGGGGGAGCTTTGGAGCACTGCTTGAACAGCCTCTCCTGCTGTCTTCTGCACAATGCAAAGGGGGTCTAGGATGAGGAGTCCTTGTTAACCAAAGGTAATGTTTTTATCTTTAGAGTAGCATAAGTGAGTGGCTGTTGCTGCTGTTCGGTTGTTTATTGAAATAATAACAGAGAGGAAAGTTATGAAGTCCTCTGTACTCCGCAGGAGGATAAAGCTTCATGGTGGCACCATGCTGAGGGTGATTGAAGTTTGGCTGTTCCCCTTTATGTGGGCTTAGCTTGCATTACCAGTAATAAGAATATCTGTATGCGTTCTCATCAGAGGAAGAAAAGACTATTTAGTTTCCTTTTCCATCTTAATTTTAAAACCAAAGGTTACTATTTATATGCAATATTAATTCTGCTAATAGAAATACATTGATATATAGCCATTAGGCAAGGTAAATACTTCTTATTACCAGAGACAGTTCCTCACACCTCAAGGTAGTCCCTGGAGTACAATGCACCCTGTACAGTGGTAAAAAAATTAACATTTGCTGCACATATCTCAGCAGAAAGAAAAATCATTGTTGCATTTATTTTTCCAGCCACCTTGCAATAACTATGATTACACAGACTGTGCCAAACAGATTTTTCATTGTTGTGCCAGTATTTCTCATGTGCTCTTAGTACTTCACTCCTATTTTAGTGTTTTTTAAATTACTATTTTTTTTAGTTTCCAAGTAAAGATATATTTTGTCCGAGTGTTTGCTGTTCATATTGCTGTCTGGTTTTTGTGGTTGTTAAGTCTGTTTTTGAGACTGTGTGCTGCTATTTGGAGATGATAACAAACATGGTCCTAAAAGCACAAACCTTGTGGCTGTTGCTAATTTTTTGTGCCCAGGTTGACATGCTTTTGGGGTGAACGGGCTCAGCTGCTTTGAAGAGCCCCACCCTGCCCAAAAATCTAAATCTGGAGCTCTTAATAACAAAAGTGGTGTTTGAAAGGTTTTTTCCTAAGAAGGGGTTAAAATGAGGAGAGTGTAGTTTGTGTACTGAAGAACTTGACTCGGTTCTGTCAGTGCAGCACCGTTTGTTCTGTGTAATTTGGGAGAACACAGCTTGTACCTCCTGTTTGCCTGATGGCACATAGTAGCCCCAGAGGACACACACTGCTTTTGTGCTTCTGCTCAGTTTTAATCTTTAGAGAGCAACTGTTTCAAAGAATAAACACATTTCCTTGTAGGAGAAACTCCAGAAAACATCCTGCTAGTGACAGCGGCAGCCGCTGCCCATCATCCTGGATGTTCCTCTGCCAAAAACGGCGAGGCTTTGTGAGCTGGCCAGCCAAAGGCTGGGAGCTGCAAACTCTGTATTCCCGAGGATGGCCAAAGGAAATCAGATTTCAAAGAGCTGAATTAAAACTGTGAGGCTGCTAGCTGCTGGCTAAAAATGCAGCCCAGGGACTTCTGGCATCCCCTTTCTGCAGGAGTGTCCTGCCCACTAATCCCTACACACCCCTCAGCCTGCGTGGTGGTGGGGCTGGTTGGGCACCAGGTGGGCAGGTAATGAGCCTGCTCACTCCCTCCATGCAGGCTTTTAGATTAACTCAAAATTGGTTGTTTATTATTTTGAGTACACTGCCTTATACTGGTGTAGAGAATGTTACTTTTCTTTTACTGATTGGTTTTAACTGGCAAACAAAATTTCATTTACTGTTAGTTTTAAAAAGCAGAGTAAATACAGGTCGCAGACAAAATAATCCCACATAATATTTGTTTGCTAGATGTTGAGTGCCTTGCTTATACAGAGACTTTTATAACCCATTTTCTTCAGAGTATATGACACAAAGAGGGCAGGGTCAATTTAAAATAAATAGCTTTTGCTTACGAAGTTGACTTCAGTCTATTGTATATGTTTCTGTAAACAAAAAGATGCAGCACAGTTTGGGATGGATATAAGCACAGGCAGGGGTTTTGAGATAACTGGTCTTAACTGGTGTTTCATCGGTGTTTCAGCCCAGAAGCTTTGGCTTCCTCACTGGGAGAGCCTGTATGAAGACCTGTGTGGATGATGTTATAAGGCAAGGAATACGCCTTAGGTATGTCCTTTAAGTTCTTAATTTTGCATTGCTACAGAATTTCTGTGTGAGAAGTTGCTACACTATATTTAATTTCTTCTCAGAGAGACTCCTTTGTTTGGTAGTAACAAATAAATGCTCAAGACTAATGGTTTACAGTGTAGATGATGACATGTCTTGAATGATGTTGGATTTCAGTTCCTCTGCTATGAGCCTCAAACTGTCGCTTTGGGGAGATGCTCATGCTGTGTGTCTGGCTGGAGGGCCTCTTGGTGCAGCATCACTCGCAGTGTTTTATTCAATTTAGTAATGTTACATTAAAACAGGAGTGTGCAGTGTGTTTTCTGATTCCCAGAAATATTATCACTTTGTGGCATTGCCCTGCCAGCTTTAGTGTCACCTTTTGTTCTACACTAATCTCTCTCTGGGTAGCAGCCCCCATCATCTCTATTTCCCTGCAGACATTGCACTTGAGGCTTTTATCCACAAGCAGACTGATGAACAATGAACCATTCTCACCTCCTCTCCCAGGGCTTCATGCACTGAGTCACCAAATAATTTGTCAATAAATGAAGAATCTATTTGAAATTAATTGATGAGGAAATGTGGAACTCTTCTGATCTGGGATCCTAAAAGTCCTAATTGTCTTTCGTGCTAGGCAATTCACAAGCCTGCATGCATATTACAAAGTCTAGCAGTGTTAGTATAGTACAGCTGTGCTGCATATTTCCTTAATCTGCTTGTTTAGAGACACCCAGAATATTCATCTTAATCATTTCCGCTGCATAGTAGGTACTGGAGGAAATACCAGGGAGAACCCTGTCACTGGGAAAATGCATAATTTCAATGTGTAATGTAAATATTTTAGCTAACCAAATGTAAACACTGTTTTGCCTTTAGGATGGGAAAAGACTGTCGCAGTCAGAAACGAGCTGACATAAGACTGACCCTGTATAGATGAGATACAAAATTGTGTTCACACATTTTGGTAATCAAAACAGAGCCCTTAATGAATTGCCTAGTGTGAAAGGAATTACAAACACAAATGTGCCTGACACAAGGCATTAGGAAGTTGCTGCTGTATTAATACTAGAATGAAGGACTTTTCAGGATTCACAGGGATCCAAGGTCTATGGGGAGGATGATGGGAGATGAAAGAGATAAGATGATGAGAGATGTGCTATGGTGAGGGCTAAACAAAGGCTGGAGACTCTCTGGAGGGAAACCTAAAGTTGTAAGTACACTCTGAAAGTCCATGTTCCTCCATGCCACTGACTATGAGTTGTGTTCACTGTGCCAGGACAGTAAATTCAGAAGTTTTCAAGAGTTAGAAGATGGTAGAAGCAACAAATATGCTAGATTCAATAAGAAGCACCTTGTTGCACTCACAGCCATGCTGTGGTTTTTCAGCCAGTGAATTCAAAGGAAAGCAGAACTCCTAGGGAGCTCAGAGTGGTTGCTCATCAGTTCTGCCTGAACTGGCTTCATAAGTGTGTGAAGACTTATGTTCAAGTGGTGCTTGATAGAAACCAAACACATGATTTAACTTCTGGTACTGAAATTGGTCCTGAAGAGCAGCACAGGATGCAGAATCCTCCTAGATTCCACTTGATTTCATTGTGCAGTAAATGGTCTTTGGGCATTCACCAGATTGCTAAGCAGAAGAAACATCTAGAGATTATTTTGTTGGCTGTATGTTCTAGCCCTTGTATTGTTAATATCTGAAGAGGAAGAAATGACACAGAGGATTTCTCTAGACTCTGTGGATTGGCAGAAACTAGTTAGATCTTATTTCTGAAGACACAGGTTCATGTAAATGCCCAAGTGAGTAAGCTTTCATTACTGGAATAGCTGGGGGATTTTTCAAGGTTGATTTTTGCGTGTATTACCAACAATGGGTAATATATTAATGTCTGCCTCACATTTGCTATTTCTTTGTTATAACAGCTGGAAATTTACATTTACACATAGGCCTCAGAGCTAAAAATGTCATTCCCTAGGTTAAAAACCCATCATGATTTTTGTTGTTCTCCTTAATAGTAAAGGAGAACTGAAAATACAAGGAAAAGACAAACAGGAAGGGTAGTCCCCAGATGATAAATTATCTCAGTTGGAGCAAAGATTAATCATGTATAGTGTAGCCTTAAAAGTGTCATTGTCTGCCACTACTACAGCAATTTACCTATAGCCAAATGAGCAAATCTATCAAATTATTTAAAGAAAGTAGAATAAATCAAATATTAAATGTCATCAGTGAAAATACAATAGCTTTTTTTCAGTACAGAGGAAATTAGGAGCCTCTCTAGTGTGGATGAGAAGTGTTCTGCATAGATGAGAATAACTTTATCACAGAATCAAACTTGTGTTGCTAGAAAATCTAATTGTTTTGTGCAATAACTTCTTTTAAGTATTCTCTTGAATACAGATAATCCAAATCTCCTTTATGTCCCAGACAGATGTATCAATTTTCATGGGAAAGCATTAATACAGTCAAAAGTAAGAACTTAATTTTTTTCCTTTATGGGCAGGAAGTTCATATACTTTTGCTAAAGGGCTGTATTTTGCCTTTAAATAAAAACAAACAAAAAGGATTCTGTATTTTAGCACAGGAAAAAAGGTAGGAACAGATTGCTCTGTAGTGCTGAATTCACAGCATCATTTTTCTAAAATAAAATCATATTGTTTGAAGGCTGGTGAGAGAGAGGGAATTGAAAAAAATTTGGAAGGAGATTATAAACTTTGGGGCAGAAGGGAGTTAGATAAAAGAATCTGTGAGAGTGGGAATAATAATGTGAAGAGGAACAGACTGTGCTGGTGATATCTTTTGGCCAAGGTTTTGAAAAGAATTCATAATATGATCTGCAATCTCTGTCTTTGAGGGGGAGAATGGGAATTTTTCCATTTACAGTAAAGGCGAGTAAGAATGTCACTGCTCCAGCTGTTAAAATATTTTGAAATCTACTTCAAACTGATTATTTATTGCAGTGTTAAAGTATGGACTGTTGTGAACAGAAGAAAAAGAGAAATTGGAATCAATCCCAAAAAGTGGGTTGAAAGTATAATTTATGCTTCCCTGAGAGGGTTGTCCAGTTCAGCTCATTCCAACCCAGTTCTCTGGGAGACTGTTTTTTTGGAAATCTCCTTGGATAGATACAAGGTTCAAATCTTCAAGGGAAACTTGGAAGCCTCTGTTAAAGCCAGGGGTAAATTAGATGCATATTTTGTTCTGGAAGTGCCATCTGAACATGACTTCACAAAGCATGTGAGGACCATGGCATCCCAGGCATCTCTGGCATACACTTGAGAACAGACTTGTGTAAGGCACAGTTTCTGCAGAAGGTGGATGGGCTACATGGGCTGCTCCTGTGCCTGCAGCTTTTTCAGAAGCCCTCTTTCATCATGGGACAGAGCAGTCCACCATCTTTGCCTGTTCAGTCATTTCTATGTAACACATTCTTCACATTTATATCTACATTTAACCAGTTCCAGATGAATAGCAGTAACTTTCAGCATTAGGTAAATATGTCTGTGAAATGAATTTATCCTTCTGCTGTTTAGACTGTCAGTAGCCTTGGACAATCTGCTGTCATCAGACTGACTTGGGTTCTTAGTTTTGCTCTTGTGGCACAGCCAATTCCATTTCAGTGTATGTGAATTAAAGAGAGTAAGTTCTAATAATATTTTATATTTACACAGCACATCTCATCCCAGAGGACTTAATAAATCATGTATATTCAACACCTCTGACCTTTCACAGTCCCTTCAGAGCTGGAGAACAAGCATTTCATGAAAGTAATAAAACCATAGGAATTTTTTTTCTGTAGTACTGGGGGGAACTCATTAATTACAGAATTAATTTTGTTCCCTAAGCTGCAGCTTCAATTTGTGAAGACCTTTATTGAAAATTTCTTCAAGATAAGATCCTATGTTTTGTGTACACCATGAACAAAGAGCTAATCCATCCTTTTAAAACTGGACCCCTGGAAATATTTCACTCTTGCATCTAAACAAACATAAAAGTGTCACTACCTCAACACATTGGCTGTCATTTTACCCATAAATTGTCACCTCTTCCTTAAGGATCTCCCCAAAATGCTATAGTCTGCCTTCCCCCTCAGCTGCTATGCATCCTCCCATTACAGTGTGGGAAATACAGCAAAACTGATGCATCAGAAAACCTAGTTACTTGCTTTTGAGGAAGTCAGATGTGACTGATCCTCTGAGGTATCAAGCTGAAGAAATTCAGCATTCTGTGCATTTGGTCAGCATGTGCAGAGGAGGAGGGTTGAGCAAGGCCAAAGGAACAAGGCAGAGGAGGAGGATGGAGATTAATTCATCTTCCAGGTACTTAGTGCCTCTTCCTGTGAACATTAGGAGGATGACCCAGTGCCTGTGGGTATCAGTCAGTGTCTGTCCCTGCAGCACTGGGTCAGTGAGGGGGAGTGTGGGGCCCTTTGTCTTCCCAGGGCATCCTTCTTGTGGTGCACAGGCTCAGCTTATGTGCAGGACTACCTCTACCTCAGTGGGGTCAAATTCCCTCTACTTTAAGAAAAAACTGCAGAGGAGCTGCTTTCCTGAATTTTAAAGAAGAAAATTGACATGCAGCCTGTTCTAGTGTGGCCTTTGACAGGCCATTTTGTGGGTTGATTTGGGCCTTATTTAGTCTGTTGTTTTAAACAGAAGGACAACAACATTTCTATTCTAGTTGTACAATTCAGCAAATGGATTACAAAACCGCAGTTAACTGTGACTGTCATGGATGGTAACTCAGTTAATAATAGATTAAAATATCTTTACATTTTCAGTGTATTGTTTTGCTACTTGTCTCTCTTTTTAGCTTGTCTGGATTTAATATCATTTATTCCATTTAGGAGCATTACTGAGACAAACCCCATTAAAGCAGGCATTATAGTCCTTGTTTTGATTAGCACTCAAGGCCACTAGATAATGATGCTTAAAAAAAATCTTATTTCTCTCATGGTCATTAGCACTGTGATCATTGCCAACCTTCAGACAACAGT